AAAAAAAAAAAAAAAAAAGAAAATAAATCTGTTATTGAAGATTGAATTAATTTGTCTTTGTATTTAAAGCCACTTTGGGGAGTTGGGGCTTGGGAAATTCTCAATGAAGAAAAGAAACTCATTTATGAATACCCTATTTCCACATGGCACTAAACTCCATGCATTATGCTGTGATCACAGCACAGATTGCACTTGGTTTAGGTGAGCTTAGTAGGCAGACTGAGATGTGTTGGTTTTGCAAGATGCCAAAATGCTATTCCTCTGCCAGGTGCTCTCTGACCTATCTTTATCCTCTACTTTTGTCTATCGATTAAACCCCTAAGTGGCTGTATTGCTCAGGGTTCTCCAGAAGCAGAATCAATAAGGTATATAGATAGAGAGAGAGATGAGCGGGAATTTATTAGTGGCAATTGCTCACACGATTATAGAGGCTGAGAAGTTCCATCTGCAAGCCAGAGACCCTGAGATACTGGTAGTATGGGACAGTCTAAGGCAAAGGCCTCAGAACCAGGGAAGCTGATGGTATACCTATCAGTCTGAGGCCAAATGCCTGAGAACTCAGAGAGGTGCTGGTGTTAGTTCTGGAGTCCAAAGGCTGGGAAGCCTGTAGCTGTTACCCAAGGACAGGAGCAGAAGAGTGTATCCAAGATCCAGCAGATAGATGGGCACATTCAGTTTTTCCATGTTTTTGTTCTCTCTGGACCCCCAGCAGTTTGGATGATACCTGCCCACATTGAGGGCGAATCTTTCCCACCTAGTCCACTCAGAATTACATGCTGGTCTCCTCTGTAAACACCCCCAGAGACACACCCCAAAATAATGCTTTACCAGGTTTCTAGGTATTCTTTAATCTAGTCAAGTCAACACCTAAAAGTAACTATCACAGTGGCTAATTCCTAAGGCTTTTAGTTTCCATTAGCCCTGACAGGTTCTCCAGAAGTACAGTAGACAGGCTTTGTTTTCTTTTTTTCTTTTGAGACATGGTTTGGGTCTGTCGCCCAGGCTGGAGTGCAGTGGTGCTCACAACAGCCTTGACCTCCTGGGCTCAAGCAATCCTCCCACTTTAGCCTCCCTGGTAGCTAGGACTACAGGTGTGTACCACCATGCCTGGATAATTTTTTTTTGTATATTTTGTAGAGACAGGGTTTCACCGTGTTTCCTAGGCTGGTCTCGAACTCCTGGCCTCAAGTGATCCACCCGCCTTACCCTCCCAAAGTGCTGGGATTATAGGAGTGAGCCACCACACTCGGTCCAACAGTCTTGATAATAGCCTGACCTGCTTTCTCCTAGTGCATCCACTCTGGGAGAGCGTGGACCTGGTTCCCGGGGGTGATCGACAGTCACCCATCAACATTCGGTGGAGGGACAGTGTTTATGATCCCGGCTTAAAACCGCTCACCATCTCTTATGACCCAGCCACCTGCCTCCACATCTGGAATAATGGGTACTCTTTCCTCGTGGAATTTGAAGATTCTACAGATAAATCAGGTGAGGGCAAGATCTGGTGGTCTTGTAAGGAGTTAAAGAAACAGTGTCATGTTAACACGGACACATCAAATTCTCGCCATGACAGTATTGACCTCTTTGTTAGCAATGGCAAGGAACTCATTGATCTTAACTTTTTGAATGTGTGAAAAAAATTCCTTCTAGTTTTTATGCGTATTTTCTTCAACTGGTATAGGTAGTATTTTTAATTAATAAATTTATCTCTCTCTATGTATAGATTTACAATTGGTATAGAGCATAGGTGTGAAATGGAAGTTTTGCCAGAAATTTATTTTGTATGTGTATATTGAATATGTACTAATTTTTTCCTTTGCTTGTTGACTTTACGAGAACTTTTACATTAAACTGTTTAATCAGATTTAATTTAGCAGATTACAGTACACTTGAAATGGGGCCAAAAGAATAGTCATGTGTGCATTAGGTTGCAAAGACTAGTCATATATTAGAGAAATGGAAATTATGATCTGGTAATTTTGTTAAATAAACAGTGTTACCTACCTAGTTTAAAAGAACACTTTAAAAGAGTTTTTCGGGGCCGGGTGCGGTGGCTCAAGCCTGTAATCCCAGCACT